TTATTTAGCAACTCAAATTTTTAGGAAGCCAAATTTATCAGAGTTTTGACAAACTTATCACATTTTCCAGTGAGATATTTTTATTACAGTGGCAGCAATGGGTTCTATAAGAATAAATGTGACCTGGATGTTGTTTCTTAAAAAACAAAATCAACTATTCAGCATTTCTAAACTTTATTTTATATATAGCCTATATAAAAAAAATTACAAACATCAATGACACATGATGATTTCATTAATGTTTAATTCATTACAAACATTAAAACTTCATTATTTTCAGGTTTTATTAAGTGTAAAGATTTTCTCCTTCAAAGCATAAATCAGTTTAAAAAAACTGAAGGAATGCACATCGCCTGCTGCCTTTAAAGTCAAATTGTTGGATCTGTTGTTTCCCAGACTTTTGATCACATGATCCACATTTTGTTAATAAAAAAATTACGTGTTTTTATTGAGGTCTCATGTTTGGACTGAGGAGTATTTTTGTTTCCTGGTTGGAAGTTGAGTCCAGTATGTTCTGTATGTGGGACACTCGATCTGTCCTCCCTGTGACTGATAAACATGGACACATGGAGGAGGAGGGGGCTGTGAGGAGGAGGAGGGGGGAGCTATAAAACTGTGGAGGAGCTGAGCCCAAATGTTTGACTGAACTCATCCTTCCGGTTCTGTAAAGACCCAGCGGTCCTCTGGTGTCCCCTGATGCCGTGGGTGCTGTCCTCTCCGCTGGACACCCTGTCCCCGTCCCAGCGGCACTGTGAGCGGACGGCCTTCTCCTTCTACCGCGCGGTGCGGGAGCGGCTGCCGGTCTGGCTGCTGGAGGACATGCGCAGCATGGAGGTCCTCTGCTGGAACGACGGGCGCCCGCGGGCCTTCCTGCCCTCCGAGGCGCTGCTCTACGCTCTCGTGCACGACCACCAGGACTACGCACGCGACCTCCTGGGCAGGTACTCCGTGAGCGCCCTGGCGGCGCCGGGCTGCAGCCTCTGCYGCTGCGGCAGGAGCGCGCCGCACCTGAACGTGGCGGTGCGCTACAAGCGCGCGGCCATCCTGCGCATGATGCTGGAGGCGCTGAGKGACTGCGAAGGGGCGCGCGAGCGGCGGGAGTACCTGGACGGYCGCGGCGGCTGTCCTCACTTCGCGGACGCGGGAAAGAGCGCGGTGCAGCTGGCGGTGGAGCTGTCCGACCCCGGCTGTCTGCTGCAGCTGCTGCGGCACGGCGCGCGTCCCGACGCGCTGGACGTGGCGCTGCAGAACCTGGTTTCCCGCGACGCCTCGGAGCGACGCGACGCGCGGCGCTGCCTGGACCTCCTGCTGCTCTTCCTGTCCGAGCCCCCGCGCCTGCCCCGGCTGCAGGACGACCCGCAGCRCTGGCAAGGCATTCTGGGAAAGAAGGTGTTCACCTGGCTCTGCGGCCTGGCCCCGCCCCCACTCCTGATCCAGGCGCTCAGGTGTCTGGCCCGATCCGGACCGGACTGGATCAGTTTACTGCCGGACTTCCTGCAGCAGGGCGGCTGGCAGTGAGGA